TCCAACCCCCACCCTGCCACCCCAAGGATGGGCGTCCCAGGGACACTCACAATGGCAGCCTGGCCAAGCCTCCCTCTGGGCCCTACCTCAGAGCCCACGGTGAAACCCCAGGGGACCCAACTTGGGTCTCTGTCTGAAGTGTGCATGCATCATGTGACAGTCTTGGCTTGGCCAGGACCAGTGTGGTGTGGACCTGCCTTTTATCTACAGGAGGCTACAGAAGGGCTCAGACCTGGCTTTGGAGGCAGGAGAATAGAGAATGCTATGGAACCTGCGGCCCTGGGGAGGGGTGGAGAAGGGAAAAGCCCCCACTTAGAGCAAGGACAATGTCTGAGAAGGGAGGGCGGCAAGCCACGCCTGGAGGCAGCAGGCTGCTGCCCGCTGTGTCATTCCCAGGTGGGCACATGGTCCCTTCCCCGTCAACAACCTCCCTGCACACAGTAGGCATTTTACATAGTACTKCGGGTATAATAAGATGATTCGGATGAACACTGGGCTGCATAGSATGTATGAGCCATACAGAGAAAATGTGATCCGAGCCCCAAATACCTACTTACGATGGAACTCTGGGATAGTCTTACAAAGGTTTGGGATATCCATGTAATTCAACACTTCATGAACTTCTCCTTTTGAGGAAAAAAAAAAAATCTTCATGCCACAATCCTACACTATATAAAAACCCCCAAAAGAACTTACTTACAGAGGCCTCAATCTCTCAGCACTAAAGTGGCTGACCGAATACACATTCTGGCACTGACTTTTATTGCTAGAAATTGAATTCCACCATAAGCACTCGAGGAGTGACTCAAGTCTTGCTGTGCTAGAATCTTGCTGCATGACATGTCACCAGTGAGTGGATCGTCACCATATGGGAAATGCCCATCCTGCATCTTTTCATTACACTTGACATAATAAAGCTGGCCCACCTCCCACAGCACATTCTGCCATCGAGGTAAAAGTTAAGATCAATGAAGGAACAGAAAATGTRTATGTCCTGTCACCGGGGGAGTGTGGCAGCAGGAGACACAGGCAGACCTACGTCTTCCCCGAGCAGGTCGAACAGAACCAGTGCCAGCCTCGCCATGGCATCTGGGCGCCTCTTCCACATTCTCTTCTGGGACAAAACTYCCCTTTCAGGGCTGAGACCTGGGAGAGCACATTTTCCAAATGTGCCTCTGGTTCATCAGCAGGGTCTCCTGGGACCGGGAGCTGTACCTGAGCTGGTACATGGTCGAACCCAAGAACTCAAGTTCCAGTGCCCTGTGACTCTGCGCCCCAGGACACTGACACTCGGGATGGATTGCAGTCAGGCTTCCCTCACTCCCTGTGCAGGTTGTAGCTATTAGCAAACTCAAGAGCATGACTGCTCAAGGGCAGTCACTCAACAAGGTCATCATATCCAGACATCTGTCTGCAGGCACTACAACTGCTCCCAACCATTCATCAGGAGTCCTTATATCACAAGTCCCCTGGCAACTCGCACTGAACAACACTGGGAATAAGTTAGGGACAGCGTCACGAAGGACACTAGTCCTCCAGTGTGTGTGCACAGTGTGTGTGTGTATGTGTGTGTGTGCGTGTGTACATGTACACCCATGTATGCAAACTGAAAGACAACCACACAGCCTTCAAAAGATGGCAGACTTTGCTTCTTATCACACCTTAGTCTATTGTTTTTAAAAAGTCCTCATAATTACCAATACAGCACAAGTTGTAGCAATCCAGACAGGCAATTATCTTCACATCCTTCTTGACATTTCTCTCCTCACTCTACTTTCTGTGTTCCATGGACTCTAAAAGCACCCAATTTTTTCATGTACCAAWTATTAATAATATCAGTGGATATAACTGGTCATCCAAAATGCCTTCAAAGCGCTCGCCATTACCATTTAGCTTACATTGTAGGGAGCAGCCAGTTAACACCTCTAAAACACACCTGGAGGCACCGTTACTCAAGTGGAAAGTGTAACAAAACGTGCAGGCCACTTAAGCTGGTGTTTAAATGCAGCACTAAAAATGCATTTCACACCCAACTTCATCAATCACCAGCCGATCTTACTTTGCATCTTGGCTACCAAAAGAAAATGGGATTCGTTTCCCTGAAGAAATATGTCACGGCTCTGCTTGAATTATTAAGCTTTACTATTACAGAGAGAAACAGAGTCAAAAAAAAAAAAAAAAGGAAAAAGGAAATAAAATTAGACCCATGTTGCCATCTGCAGTCTGATAGCAGCACTGCTCATTCACACAGCACTGGATACTGAGTATCAGTATCTGCAGTTAAATAAAAGACAACGTGTGGCCACGAATCTAATTATGATACATCAAGCTGAGAACAGGATGGAGGGAAAAAACTGGATCAATTATCTCATAATTCAACATATGCTAGATATTCCTTCACCCTACCAAAACTTAATGCTTCGAAATAAAACGGAAGCACTTGCTTACCATCAAATTTTACATGTATTTTAACTTAGAAAAAAGTATGTCGATTTCATCCTAAAACAAACTTGCATTTTTCCTCATGGCCTTGACCTCCCATGCCCTCATGTTCATTTTGCTTCAGATCTTTATTACTTTTACCTTCTCCAGGAACTGGAGCCCGCTTAAGACCCGAGCACTAGAAAGCACACACTTRCTTCTAATAATCAGATGGACGGCCTTAAAATAAAAAGCAACTTCAATCATAAATAAACAGGAARATTGATTTGGGGGAGAGAGAGAGAAGGACTTTTGATATTATAATCTGGAGATTTTCTCTAGCCAAGACATACGGACGGAGAGCATGGGTTTTCAGTAGTATGGACTCTGGGTGATACGCTTAAGCTTATCAAGTGACAGCTGAATCTAGAGAACTACACAAAATGTTTTTTCATTTTTCCTCCCGGGGGGAGGGGGCGGGGGGAATGGTTTTGGAAGCCGGGATTCATTTTCCAGGCTGTATGTTCTTTCTTATCRGGATGAAAAGATACAAAAGGCTTTGTTCTAAACTCTTAGACATGCCTTCTAGATCAGCAGTAGAAGACCCTTCCRGAGAAAAAGGAAATCGGCCTAAAACCCTCATTGGAAGGCACCAGGAGCTGTTGGGTGGTCCGTGAGACCAGCAGTTTGAACACCTGTCATCTGCACATCACGAGCAGACAGGCAGTGGTCAGGAACAAGSGCAGGATTCTCCTAGGACTGGGCAGAGCGCCAAGGCTCTCTACCTTTGCCCAGTACTTTAGCAAAGTGACTTGCTTCAATATGAAACACAGTTTTGGTATTTTCATGCCACCGATACAAATGTGGTTGACAACTGTGAATTTCTACAAAAGCAAAAATACGGAGAGTTGTGCTTTTTCATCAAGGTCGCTTTCCTCTAAGGACAAGGTCAGCATGGCCTCGTGCGTTCCCAAGTCTCCACAAATAATRTAAGCTGAAAAGATGATCATTCCCTTTCCTCCCAGGGACAAATACTCATCTAAAGACTTTTTAAAAACATAGTGGAAGCAGGAATTGGAATCGCCGATTAATAATAGGAGCCTTGCAGATAATAAATAAATAACATCTTCTTTAAGCCTTTCAGTCAATAATTCCTGAAAAGTTTTTTAAAGGTCCTATTTCGTAGTGGATTTTATAGTATCACAGAGAATTATCTATTTTTAAGTTCCATTATTCATTCATTCAACATTTAGTAAGTGCCTCATAGCTATTAAACTTGCACCAGAATTAGGTATTAAATATTTTAAAAAACAAACAAGAAAAAAACCTAGTCAGACAGGGCCTTGGGGGCTCCCAATCTGGYATATACTGACTAAAATTGAGCCTCTGTTATTTATAATGTTCAAGGTTCAGCTTGTCCGTCCAGGCTAATCTCTTTTCTTTGGTTCTTGCCATGTAACAGGCACTCCATAAACAAGCGCCACCTGTATGCCTCCCSCCAGCCTCCTTGCCTCCCGGTCTCTAAAACGGATTGTACAAGTGTAAAGATAAGCAACGTCTGAAAATCGTAATGTGATCCCACATTTGGGAGATTCATAATGAGGCCCAGAACAGACAGGCTGCCCAACGTCAAGAGCAGGAGGAGAATCTAGGCTGCCTGCTTGTAGCTAGTCGCCCTCACCTAAAGCTGCGAAGATGTCACTCCCCCGCCTGGTGGAACTGCTCCCACCTGACCCCACGTTTAACCTGGCCTCGAAGGTCCTCCCGTCTCTGGTCGGCGCTCACAGGAGTCAGGCTTCCCCTCCGTGCAGGCCCACACTGGCCGCCGGCGATTCCCGTGACTCTGGAAGCATCGGGGGCTCCCGGGGAAGTCAGGGCCCAGTCTGTGAATCTGAACCCTTATCCATCCACGCTCCTCCCGCCCGCAGCGTGTCCCCCTGGCAGGGTGCAGGAGTGTCCCAGGGGAGGCAGGTGGCAGTCCCTCCGCTGGCCCCCAGCACCACTCCACTCTCAGGAGCTCACCCCGCTGACAACATGCCAGAGGAGACCAGCACTCTGCCGGACGTCCCCCAGAACTCCCTGCTTGCGTCACATACCTCATGAGTTCATCACACTTTGTCTCATGCTCCAGAAATCTCAGACTGACGCAAACTTTGGGTCATTGACACAACATTTGTTGGCGAGGATCAGTAAGTATGAGAGTTTTCAAAGAAAACTGCTGATATGTAACAGTAAGGARTATCTTCTGTGGACCCAAAAAAGCAAACGCAGGGACTTCATTTTATTTKATTTTATTTATTTATTTATTTATTGGTCCTGGGGATTGAACCCAGGGGTGCTCTGCCACTGAGCCACATCCCCAGCCTTTTTATTTTTTATTTTTAGACAGGGTCTCACTAAGTTGCTTACAGTCTTGCTAAGTTGCTGACACTGTCCTTGAACTTGCAATCCCCCTGCCTCAGCCTCYAGAATTGCTGGGATTACAGGTGTGTTCACTGCACCCAGCTAATAATTAGAAGTGCATCCCAGTCTTAAAATAATAATAAGTAATAACAGCAATACAACAAGAACAAACTCACCACTGTCGGGCAKCGTTTCTTGTGTATTCTTCAACTTGACATTTTGTTTCGACTTCCTTGATTTCTCTGAATTTGCGACTTCTTTTTTCCCTTTCCTCTTCAGAGGCTGAGGAGACGAGTTGTCACTGGACCCAACTGTTGACTTAGATTGGCGATCATTTCCCTAAATAGCAAAACATTAGACCCTTATCGAAGGCTAAGGAACTCCCAACTCAGCAACAGCTGACAATAGTCAAGTGCCTAATATGCGCCAGGTATGCACAAAGCTGCTCTCCCAGTCTTCAAGCTGTCCGTGAGGCAGGTCCTGTGGCCACCTGTGGCCACCTGTGGTGTGGATGAGGAAGTGAGGCTTGCAGCTCCAGCCTGCYGGGTAAGGAGCAGAGGTGACTACTCCAGAGCTGAGGGCAGTCAGCTGCCACAGCCACCCTCCACTCCTGCGCCCTTCTTTTTGTTTGGGGGGTACTGGGGACTGAACTCAGGGGCACTGAGCCACTGAGCCACATCTGCAGCCCTATTTTATATTTTGTTGGAGACAGGGTCTCACTGAGCGGCTTCGCACCTCGCTAAATTGCTGAGACTGGCTTTGAACTCGAGATCCTCTTGCCTCCGCCTCCAGAGCCACWGGGATCACAGGGGAGCACGGCTGCACCCGGCCTCCTGCGCCCTTCCTAACTGTCACGTGCACACATCGGTATCATACGCAGGCCCTGCTTGTGGAAATGGTCCACTAGGAACTCCTCTGTTGGTGGAGAGCAAGATCTCCGAATCACACATCCAGAGGGATACACAGACACAAGCGGCTCAGGGCCACATGCTCCCCCCACTCATTCCCACTTGTTCCTGTTCCTGCAAGGCAGCCACAGGCCACCATGCTTTTGGTGATGGCCTCCRGTCCCCACAGGCCTCTTGCAATAAAGACCTTTTACCTTCTGAAAATGGGCTCCTCAGCGCAAGGACGAGGCTGAGTCTCGGAGGCCCCCCTCACAGCCCCAGTACAGCTTCTGGGGAGCCATGGAACATTCTTTTTGGTGGTCACTACAGGAAGGAACCGCTGCACTGACACTCAGCCACTACTTGGTCACTGCACCAACAAGATCCTCCTCCTAGTGAGGTGGCGCTGGCCCTCAGATGCTCGGTGCTAAACACACCTGAATGTATAAGGGGTGGGCGGTAGATAGTGAAGAGTGCCAGTTTGGAGACCAGAAATCCCAGTTGGTCAGAGCTCCACTTTGCCACTACCTCTGGGGACATAAACTAACTTCTCTCCTCTTTGAGCCTAGGTTGAAGGGGGCTAATGTACCTGCCCAAAGGCCTATTGTGAATATGCAGGGGACAGTTTATAAAGGGACCGGCGSACTGGCGTGGAGCCTGATGGTGAGGTGGGAAGGCCTTCTCCAACAGCAGAGAGTAGGCGTCTCTTCCTTAAAAACCACATCACACTTGTGCCATATTAGGTGCAATCTTCATGCAACATCTGTACTACGCTAGGATCTGAAAATAAATGTAGTGATATTAAATAAACAAATCTGCCTAGAAACCTATTAGAACTGCTCATTTTAAACATTTATATATTCAGCCATCCAGAAGGATTTAAATGGTTTTARCCATCACCCAATTAAGAATAGAAAAATGCTCAGCCTTACAAATGAAGTTATTTATGCTATTTTGTCATAGCCTACAAGAAAATGAATTATGCATAGATTTATTAACAGAATGAAAACTTGTCCAAATCTATAACACTTTTGCATAATTTAATTTCCTATTCCAACTGCAATTTAAACATACAGTTTCCATTTAATTACTGCATTAACTACAACCAGACTTTTTTTTCTTTTCTTTTCTTTTTCCCATGATTCTTTCTTGCAAGGCCGTAAACTGTCTGGCAGAGGAAATAGATAATGATTCCAGAGGAGTTTCCACATCCATTAATCAAGTCCATTATCCTGGTCTATTTCCAATATTTTAAAATTATACAAGCAATGGGTGAGGGGAACAACCCTGCTCAAGCCRTTGGCGAGTACTAGAAGGTTCCGAGGTGCACAGGCTAGAGTCAAAGGGAACCCAGCAGGTGCAAGACTCGGGAGCACAGCAGGGGCTTTTCATAGCTCTCCAAGAAAAGTATTACTTGAGAAAGGGGAGAAACAAGGGAGGAAAAGGAAGGCCCGTCCTGGGATGCCTAACATTAATATAATTTTACAAGCCACCTCTCATGTTGAATATTCAGGGAAATCATGACTTCTCCATTTCTGATAGGGATGCTCACACGGGCGATCTGGGAGCATTAAGAAGGAGCAGCTGACTAMACAGCTACATCAGGCATGTCTCTGATGACTGACGTCCACTCTGCACTCAATTATTGAGAGATAATTCCTCTCCAGGCAATGGCAAGTAAAAATTAAACTACACCGAGAGAGAGAAGGGAGAGAATCATTTTGTATTTAGGAGACTGAAAAGAATTCAAATGCTTTCTTTGAAAAAAAGAAAAAATTGATTCATCTAAAATATTAATAATATAAAAATAACTACATGAAAATTATATGTAAGTGGCATAATTTATTTTCACACTTGTTTATCTCAGAATATGATAGATAAGTTATATGTAGTTATAGAGAGAAGGAAAAGGGGGAGCAGGTGCATTTTTTGTTTGTTTGTTTGTTTTGGGCAGGGGATACTAGGAATTTAACCCAGGGGCATTTTATCACTGAAATACATCCCCTGCCCTTTTTAATTTTTATTTTGACACAGAGTCACATTGAGTTTCTTAGGGCCTTGCAAAGTTACTGAGGCTAACCTCTAACTTGCAATCCTCCTGCCTCAACCTCCCGAGCTTCTGGGATTACAGGTGTGCACTACCAAAGCTGGCTATTTTTGTGTGTTTGGGGGGTTGGGGGGGGTTGTTTGTTTGTTTGTTGTTTGTTTGTTTGTTTGTTTTTCTTTTCTGAGACTCCACATTTGATTTTTGACTTGGATACAGGGGATAGATAGTCATTGCTCTTTGGGAGGCATAAGAGATAGAGGAGTTTTGCCAAGTCATACAGCTGTGCTAGTCAGTAAAACAATATTATTGAGTGGTTCATATGTGCTACATACACACTAACCAAACGTTTACCAAATGTATGATAAACTATTACAATCAGTATTTTATAGCTAAAGGAATACCTTTCTCAAGGTATGATTTTTCTACCACACCAAAGCTTTCTAATGCCCAAGATGCTCAAAACGCCTATGATACATATGATTTCCTAAAACAGCCATTATGAATTTATCTCAGAAAGAGAAGAATCAAGAAGACCTAATTTTATCGATGTCTTACCAAAAAAACTAGCCACGGGGCTATGCTTTAACCCTGTGCTTCTACCTTGTGACTCACACACACACAATTTGTCTAATAGGAATAGCAAACCACTAGCTCACACATACCAAACACAAACAAGCTGGGCACCACTGTACAGCCTGTAACCCCAGCAGCTGGAGAGGCTGAGGCAGGAGGCCAGCCTCTGAAMTAAGCAAGCTCCTATCTCAAACTGAAAAATAAAAAGGGTTGGGGATATGGCTCAGTGGTAAAGTGCTCCTGGGTTCAATTCCCAGTACCAAAAACAAAACAAAGCCAAAAAATATAGCCCTTCAATCACCTGTACCCTAACAAGACTGGGGCTTCAAACTGTTTTATTATCRTTATTATTTAATATTTACAATACCCTAGGATCTTTCCAAGAAGACCCAACCTACTCCAATTTCTTCTCAGGGCCACAGTAGACCCATTTCCAGCCCTCACAACAAATGTGCCTAAAACATCAAGCGAGAGATGATTGTAGAAGGGGTTTGCCTCCTGAGCCTTGTGCCCATCCGGGACTGCGTTCCCCGCGTGTTGGAGGAATGCACCTTAGTGTTCATAACTTGCTTCACAGTGGCTTTGTGATGCACATCCGTCATGGTAACCGTGAAGGTCTTTATCAAAAGCTTAGAAATTTTATTGGATCCTGTAAATTAGCGACTAGAGGSTGTCATGGCCAAAGGATAATAAGCACGACCGGCGCTCGGGGCCTCCTCTCCTCCACTGGAGGGCGCGTGGAGGCTGCGCGGTGCGGAGGACCGCCCTGCGAGCCGGGGTTTTCAAACTCAGCAAAACTCGAGATCTCWTTCATTCCACCTTCCTTCTGTTTCCAAGGGTAGGGTGGCAGTGACTCTCGACACTATCAGCCTGTGCGGGGCTTTGCGCAGCGTGCTCCCGGGTGGTCCCTGCCCGGGGCAGCTCAGCGTTCACCCGCCGTCCCCTTCAGTAGCAGAGCAATTCCTAGAAAGCCGGGGGAGGGGGGACACACTTATAAAGCCTCATCTCTGACCCCTTCGACTTGGGGTGCTTGCCGTTGGCTGGCAGAGTCCTTAGTTGGGAGCTCAGCCCCCACTCTCTCCCAGCTGAGTGCTCAGGGACAGACAACTAATGAGCTCTAAATCKTGTGCACTCTCCGGGGAACCTATCAATTAAAGGAGAGGAGTGAATTAACCCTGCTGTTAAAAGTCCAGCTTTGGATTTACCGGCAGGGGATGCTCTCTCTGTGCGGCTCACTGTGGACGTGTGCACTCGGGGTGAATGGGCGTGGTGCGGACCGTCCATCACCAGGCATGCGCTAGGGGTTACCCTAAAAGGCTCCCCAACACTCAGTGACACGGCCTCTGCCACGTGCTCGTCCTGTTTCTTGATGTGTACTTCTAGCTCATTCCTTCTGGTGGCCTRTTTGTCCGCTTCTGTCCTCTAGAAAGTAACCTTCACACATTGAGTGTTTGGGAATCTCTGAACAGTGAGTGCCCAGCACAGAGTRTACACTCCACAAATAACTTCAGGATGAATGAATCCAGCGATGGCAATATTCTCAAAATACCCGCTGTGGCCACCCAGCCAAGCCACCACGAAGAGCAAGAGCCCTCGGTGCCTGCTGAGTCKCGGCCAGGGGGCTTGGTCTCCATGTGCCCTCCTCCTGTCCTCACCATCCATCCCTTGCACCCCAAACCTCTTGCCCCTCATCCTCCTCCATCTAAATCTTAACTAGCCCTCTGAGGCAGTCCAAACCCGGCTTCCTCACCTGCCAGCCCACCCTCCCYGGTCTTCCACTCACAGTCACTCATCCTGTGGTGTCTGGCTTTGCAGGCTGGCTTCTCCATTTCTATTACACTGTGAGTTTCTTGCGSGCAAGAGTTTTGTCAGAAACAGCARGAGGTCTCAGGGAACAAGTGATTCCTGAGTGTTTGGTACACTGAGTTCAGCTTGACTGACTTACACAGAATTATTTTTCTTTTTTTTTCAAGAATTTCATATGATGCAACAAAATGGGGAAGGGGTATGAAATCAGCACTAGGAGGCAGTACCATTGCCCATCAATCCCATGTTCTTCAAAATAACAAAATAAGAGTGTGGMTTAGTTAATTCAGGTTGGGGTGGTGGATGCCCAGGGAGTTCTGATGGCCACTCACTGGTCAGGCAGTTCATTCCAGAGGGAAGAAAGAGGATGCTAGTCTGAAAACCCACCAGCCAGGAGTGGGGGCCTACACCTGTAATCCCAGCAGCTCAGGAGGCTGAGGCAGGACAATCTCGAGTTCAAAGACAGCCTTAGCAACAGTGAGGCACTAAGCAACTCAGTGAGACCCTGTCTCTAAATAAAATACAAAATAGGGGTGGGGATGTGGCTCAATGATTGAATGTCCCTGAGTTCAATCCCTAGTACCCAAAAAAAGACCCACCAGCATCACACGAGATTCACCCTTACAGGGAACTTAGTCTATAAATACAAACAGGTTAAGAAGCTACCTACCAAGTACTAGTCCCTATAGAATAGGCATTTCATCAAGGATAGTTGAACTAACAAATAAAATAATGATTGAATAATGGAAAGATTCTAGTATGAAACTAAACACATAGAATGATTCTCGATGTTTTAGAGAAATAACTGAGACTTACCATTTTCTTAGCAAAACTTGTTTGTTACTATTTATCAGAGAYAGAAAATACGACTACTGGTGTGGCCCAATAAGTGGTCCTCATACTATTATGCATTATAGTCCAGATTTCAACTATGATATAAATTATAGCAGGTATATATGCAAGGAAAACATCTTTGAAACCTATATTTTAATATAGCAGCTCCCTTTTAGGACCTTCTCTGTAACTTTAAAGCTCTAGTGTTGTTTGACATAATTGCTTATATGCCACGAGGCAGCTAAGTTTCATTTCTTTAACTTTAATTGAAACCCAAAGGACAGTCTCTCATATAGAAATATGGAACATTAATGAGGAAAGCATCTGATACTTACACTCCCTTTAGACTTTCTGGATCCTACGATAGGAGGTAGTGAAGAGGCTTTCTGACTGTGGAAACAAATTACAATTTAGACATCTGGATGTTATTTTAAAGTAATATACATAAAGCAAGATAATTGTCACTCCAACCTKAAAGTTAACTGTCATGACATTTATGTTTCAGAAAAAGTACCATGAGCTTTTCCAATTTCAGACTACCCCCAAAATCTCCAAATTCCATTCCAAAATATTTTACTGCTTTCTTGTATACTACTTTAGCTGATGCCTAAAAATAAACTTTTCCTACCATTATAAATGTTGTCATAGCATTTTTCATCAAATCACAATGTTTTCCATTTGCATTTCAAAAAATCATTTCCCAAGTGAGGTAATGATTGTGCCAGACTGAGCTAAAAACATTTTAACTTGATCATTTCCTTCTTTTCATAATATCTGCTTTGTCTACATCTGATAGGGTGGTAAAACACTGGCATTAGCATTCAGGGAAGTTTTAAGACAGTAATTCTTGCAAAAAAAAAAAAGTCTTTTGGACTGTAAGTTATTTGGCAGGTGACTGAATTATTAGGGGAAGACCCATCGTGAAACTCAATGGAYGTCTCCAAAAATAGGAGGACCCAGGTATTAAAGGCAGATGGAGATGGGGCTAACTTGCAGGAGAAAGGCCAGCATGAGCTGCATCTTCACGTTGCCGTCAAGTACAGGCTGTGGCTCTCGGCAGAGAAGGCAGCGTTTCTCTGCAGAAGTTGTAAAAGGTCCTGGGTGAGTAAGGAGAGCTAGCCATAAGCCTGCAGGTAAACAACGCTAAACTGCTGGGACTCCACGTGCCCTGGCCCAGTTCCAACACTGCCCCTGAAATTCCACTTCACCTGTAATTCCTGTAGAAACCCTCGGCTAGTCTCACCATCGAGCCATACAAACTGTGGAATTAATGGAAAACACGTGGTTGACATCCAGTTCCATCTCTGCAGAGGACAATCACAAAAAAACTTGGTTTTCAGAGCAAAGTGGCCACAGAATCAGCACAGATGGATCCTGGGGCCCCATGAGCAGTCCAGGAGGTCCCATGGCCAGGGCCAGAGTGCGTCACAAAAATGAAGTGTCTTTCACAAACAGGACATTTCATGGAGAAAAATGTATTGGGTATAATTAAGAGTGTAATCATTAAAATTTTGCATGTATTAACTATACACTCAGTCTATTTATTTGTACAAATGCATTCTATTGTTTTACACTTATATTGTTTTATATTAAAAAGGTCGTAAAATGTTATGTTTTTAACATTTTGAGGTTTCCCTCCAAACCCAACTGAAAAATTATTTGGCCCAGCTAACTTGTAACAACACTAAAACAGCTAATAAAATTTACATAGAAACGCTCATTGCCCTGGATCTTCTTCACAATAATAAATCTTTACATTTATTATAAATTCAATGCAAGGTAAAAAAAAATCTATGCAGTCTTTCATAAGTTCCATGAAGATCTTACTTTTGTGCAATAGCTCTCAATCTCCCTTCGTGGAAGTAAAAGCCAAGACAGATGTGTATCAGGCATACTTTCCATCTAACTGTAAATAAGATTATCACCAAAATATCTTGGTGATCCACAGAAGACCCAGGGCTACTTCAGGTGAAACTGAAGCAGGGGAGCAGGTGAGGGAGGGAGACTCACCCATAAGGCCTTCGCATCCCCGACTTGTCAAAGAGCAACTCACTGTACGGCAGCCTCTTAAACCTATCTCTGCCCACAGCCACGTAGAACTGCCCGCTCTCCAGCTCTGCCCCGCTCTCCACCAGCTTCCCTTCTAGGGTATAGAGTCTGTCAAAACACGAGGGACAACATTTAGGGTTCTAGCAAGCATCTAGAGGACTGCCTAAAATTACAGCGGCAATAAAAAAAAAGTCTGTTCTTGAATTGGCTCACCTGTTACTCTTCTAGTTATTGAATTCTAAATGCCTCAAAGTCATTAAATGTAACAAAATGCCAAGATTATAAATTATATAAATTTATATAAATAAAGCTCAGCTTCCACAGAAGATGGATTGTTCTATTTGTATTTGGGAATGCTCACTAAATGTGTTTTCTGTGCATTTATCAGGCCGACAAGTTTCAGGTCTCATTCTACTCAAGAAGAGCCCCCAGCCAGACTCTCACAGAGCCGCATCAGGAGAACCAGGGAGCAGAGAGGAAGGGGGAGGCCACCAGAGGTCAGAGCACCTGTCACCAGCATCAGTGGCACAGAACTGCACTGGCTTCCATGCTCCTCTTGCTCTCCTCCCCCCTCCCTCCCCCTCTCCCTCCCCCTCCCCCTTCCCCCCTCCTTCCCCCTCCCCCTTCCCCCCTCCTTCCCCCTCCCCCTTCCCCCCTCCTTCCCCCTCCCCCTTCCCCCCTCCTTCCCCCT